TTGTTCCCCCTCCTGGGGCGAACATCGTCAGTGGCATGTGGATTTTCAGGGTGAAGCGACCGCCGGGTTCTCCGCCTGTCTTCAAGGCGCGTTACGTGGCTCGTGGCTTCAGTCAGCGGCAGGGAGTTGACTACTTTCAGACCTTCTCTCCCACCCCGAAGATGACCACTCTTCGGGTGCTGCTGCACATAGCCGCTCAGCGCGACTACGAGCTCCACTCTCTTGACTTCAGCACTGCTTTCTTGCAGGGTAGCCTGCACGAGGAGATCTGGCTGCGCCGTCCACCTGGCTTCACTGGGACTTTCCCTCCTGGCACCCAGTGGAGCCTCCGACGGCCAGTCTACGGTCTCCGCCAGGCACCGCGTGAGTGGCACGACACACTGAGGACTACGCTTGCGGCTCTTGGGTTTGCTCCTGTCAGAGGTCCACTGGTGATCCCCGATTGATCCTAGGGAAGGGTTACAGGCATGTTGGCCTGGGGGGTTATGGGCGCACTTACCCGCTACACAAACAAGCCCTTTTATCCCAATGGTCTAGTGGTTGGGATTCTGACAGCTCCCTCTACTGCTGACCCGTCGTTGTTTCTGCGCACCGACACTTCTTTGCCGCCGTTCTACATCCTCGTGTACGTCGACGACTTGGTCTTTGCCACAGCTGACACTGCTGGACTAGCCTACGTGAAGTCCGAGCTGCAGAAGAGACACACGTGCACAGACCTGGGTGAACTGCGTAGCTACCTTGGCTTGCAGATCACTCGGGACAGAGCACGCCGCACCATTACCTTGACTCAGTCACACATGGTGCAGCAGGTCCTTCAGCGCTTCGGCTTCACGTACTCCTCGCCTCAGGCCACTCCTCTGTCTACTCGCCACTCGCTCTCAGCTCTGCCTTCGGATGAGTCCGTAGAGTCGAGTGGCCCGTACCCAGAGCTTGTTGGCTGCCTCATGTACCTGATGACCTGCACACGACCTGACCTTGCATACCCTCTTAGCATTCTTGCACGCTATGTTGCTCCTGGGAGACACCGACCAGAGCACATGGCTGCAGCGAAGAGGGTGTTGCGCTACTTGTGCAGTACGTCGGGCATGGGGCTAGTGCTTGGAGGGCGTAGTCCAGTGGTCCTCACTGGGCACGCGGACGCTTCTTGGGCTGACGATCGTCTACGTACAGCACTGGAGGAGAACGAGGCTGCTCTCCAAGGTCAGTCAGCAGGTAGGTGAGCCAGCGAAGCTCCTGTGCAGCCATGGCCCCGGCGTAGATCTCAGCCTCACAACTGGAGCCGAGAACAGAGGACGAGCGAGTAGCCCGCCACGAGACAGAGCCGGAACCAAGACTGAAGGTGTAACCCTGCGACGACCGCTGGCCTTGTGTCGAGAGCAGCGCTTGGAGCACAGAACGAAGCACATTGCTCTCCGTTACTTTCTTGCTCGTGAGCTGCAGCAGCGTGGTCAGTTGCGACTTGCGTACGTGGCCTCTGAGGCCAACACTGCTGATGTGTTCACCAAGGCACTTGCGCCTTGTGACCATCAGCGTTTCTGCACTCAGTTGGGTCTTGTACCTGTCTTGCCTCACTTGCTCTCCTCTTGACCTTGCTTGTACTGTCACATATATATACCTGCTCTTGCTTGTCTAGCTCTATATATATATGTGTCCTCCTGCATGTGAACTGGCCTTGTGGCCTTGTCGTTGTGCTCGGACTGTGTGGTGACTTTGTGATCCACCCTGAGCTTGCTGTGCTTTGCGTGACTGGTCTTGTGACCCCTTGTTCTCCCCCACTTTGCCTATGGGGGTGTGTCAGAACATTATATAGCTTATGCTGTTGTGTAGGCTATAGTGGGGTATCCCATAGGGGGTACAACCCAATTAGGGTTTCCTATATGTACTCACTTCATTCATAGTTCATCCATTCGCGTTCTCCTTTTCACAAGGGGCCGCGTCAGGGCGCCGCCAGGGGCCGCGGCAGGGCCGCGTCAGGGCCGCGTAAGGGGCCGCGGCAGGGGCCGCGTCAGGGGCCGCGTCAGGGCCGCGTCAGGGCCGCGGCAGAGCCGCGTCAGGGCCGCGTCAGGGGCCGCTTCAGGGCCGCGGCAGGGGCCGCAGCAGGCCGCGTCAGGGCCGCGTCAGGGGCCGCGGCAGGGCCGCGTCAGGGCCGCGGCAGGGGCCGCGTCAGGGCGCCGCGTCAGGGGGCCGCGTCAGGGCGCCGCCAGGGGCCGCGGCAGGGCCGCGTCAGGGCCGCGTCAGGGGCCGCTTCAGGGCCGCGGCAGGGGCCGCGGCAGGCCGCGTCAGGGCCGCGTCAGGGGCCGCGGCAGGGCCGCGTCAGGGCCGCGGCAGGGGCCGCGTCAAGGCGCCGCCAGGGGCCGCGTCAGGCCGCGTCAGGGCCGCGTCAGGGCGCCACCAGGGGGCGCGTCAGGGGCCGCGATAGGGCGCCGGCAGGGGCCTCGTCAGGGCGTCGCCAGGGGCCGCATAGGGGGCGCGTGAGAGGCGGCGTAGGGGCCGCGTAGGGGCAGCGTAGGGGCCGCTAAAAAAAAAAAATTTAGGGCAGGACGCAATGTGCGCGGGCAGCTAAAAAAAAAAAATCTTATGGTGGGCCCTTAGGAAGGAACGGTCCCATGTAGGAACCCGCTCTATACCATGTGAATCAAGAAAACAGGAATGAAATGACTAAGTGAAAGTTGGGTACAAAAAGGCAAACCCTAGGCAACTGTACCCCATATGTGCTACACCACTATAGCCTACAGTAGCTATGTCATATAACTCTGACATGTGTTACGAATAGTTGAAAATGAATGAACTATTGTGCACTCCTTACCGCAGCAAGCGAAGCAGGCACTATCGAGGCTGAAGACGAAAAGGCAGAAATGATGCGAAGGGTCGTACAGTTACGGAAGGATCTGGACGGTCGGGCAGGTAGCATCATACAGCAGCAGTGGCGAGGATTCTGCCCGAACAGTATCGTAACCACCTGGAGTCGCACGGTTGGATTTCGCTGTAATAAGGGAATGTACCCCTTAGAGTACATGGCTAGCTAGGTCGCTTCGTATTCCATCCTGTACTCTTATTTATACCTTTGTATTTGCATGTTTCAATCATCTCAAGCATTTTACATTCACTCTGCTATTGAGGTCAAGGGCCCACCACCAACACCTAGTCGTGTGCGAACCTTCCTGAGGTGATCCTAGGGGCGATCACTTTCTGATCGCAACAGTCCCGACTGTTGTCCATCCTTGAGTGGAGGTCGCGAACTGCTTCGCAGATCGCAACAACTTTAGAGGTTACGCACTGCTACACGGTAACGGTAAGGAGCGCAATAATCATTGCAACTGTAGCGATGCATGTAATACACTTAATAAGGGAATGTAATGCACCCCTCAGAGTAAATGGCTAGCTATGACTATATATTTCATTGTAATGCGTTATTATAATCATATTGTCATTTATATTAACTATAATCAAGGTTTCAATACATCCGCTGTATGAACTATCTCCAAGCAGCATGTCCAACAGTTCCTCGAGTTATTCGGACAGATTGTAGCGCCATACGAATAGACACGAGACAATTTGCACTTCTAGCAGTCACACTTGTGAACAGCTACAGTGAATTAGTCATAAGAATATCAAACTACAGAAATGTGACATAATTTCTCCATTTTACCTTAGTATAACAAATATATTAATCATTGAAAGAATTACAGTGGAAGTAGTAACATATTTGTTTTCAGCAGATTTTTTATGATTTTGCCATAGGTGTGACTTTGTGGGCTTTTCCTCTTCATATCTAGATGCATCGTAGATGAGATTATGCAAGCGCATTGAAAGTCCATCCAGAACAGTAGGACCAACTTTCTGATTGTAATAAAGCAGTGTGCATCGAGGATTCTGCCTGAGACAGTCTGGCTAATTGCACATGGACACCGTGGACATGTTTGTTCCAGATCCACGCACCATCTCCAGCTATATCTGCCATACCCGATAGTGCTGGAGGTCGTTCTATTGGTACATGGTTTCGATAGTTGTTGATTTCCTGCCTCCCAGCCAATGATCTTCAATCATACGTCGGTTGAAACGCCTGTCGCGGCTGGAGCCTCATAGTCATGACGCTTCATCTTTCCATCCACATTCATGACCGAATTCTGCAGGTTTAAGTTCCGGGCAGTTATGTAGCGATATGTATAATTGCTTGCAACAGGCCCGAGCTTTGGAAGCAATGCACAGAATGCACTAATGATGCCTATTTACGAACATTCTACCTAAGTAATGTATTTGACAAACACCTACACTGTATTTTCAGTGCCATGGAGTGCACTGGTCAAACAACATTCGCACAGGAACATGCATCGCGCCTTCCAATTGCTAATTCGTCAAAACCTCCACCTTCCATTTGCCTGGCACATCGAGTCGCGCTTCCTTCTTGTACCTCCGGTTCTGCAAGCATGGCCGCGCGTTGGCAGACGATTATGAATCACAGAACCGCAGAAGAGCCACTCCAGGCACGCTTGCAACGTCAATTGTGCTCTAATCCACCTCGGCGCATCGCGTGACCTCCCCCGCCTCCTCATACAGAATCGCCTCCTAGAATCAGCCCGTCGACGTGAAGCTCTGACTTCGTTGCAATATATTCTTCCGTCTTGCTCTTCGAAGTAGATGTGCTGCGTTTCCCGTAAATACGCCTCTCTGTTCTCGCCTTTCCGCCCGACAATCGCGTCAAGCACACAGCACAAGTGCGCAGTTTGCACACGCACGGCTGCTGACGCGCTCCTTCTCTCATCGGGATACTCCACTTGAATTAGCTCTTACTCCTCGCTCCTTCACTCTCCACTCTTACTCCTTATTCCTAACTCCTCACGCACTCAATTTCCACAGCTGCTCTCGCGAACACTCTCGTTCACCTGCTACCCCTTAATCAAGTAACTACTCGTACAGTCGACGCGTCTTGCTGTTGCAATTCATCGAGGAGACGACGACAGCAAACTCGACCAGAACAACACGACGACCAACATATCATCATGTCGCCTCTGCTACTCAGTCCACGGTCCCTGCATCTCCAGCACCCGTCAGCGTGCCTGCGGAGTACCACCGTGCGCGCCTCACACGGTGCTCTCATAACATGCGGCTCCGGGCCGCAGCAGTCCCCGAAGAGCAGTCCGAAATCGCGCTCCCCTAAAAGCCCCTCCGCAGTCCGCAACGGACGGGCGTTTCAAGCTCCCACGTTCCTTCTCTCTTCTTCCTCCTCCCTTCTTCATGCCTACCCCTCCTCTCCTCGCAACCTCGACACCAAACCGCTTCTTTCCGGCGTCACCACCGCCGCCGTTATTGGCGGCAATGGCGGATACGGCGGCACAGGCGGCACTCGGAAACCCGCTCTGGGCTTCAAGGTTAGCGAATTCACCGGCTCGCATCTTTCGGAGAGTCTTCCCCGCGTTCTCCGCGGATCCGCCGCCGTGGCCGCTTCGTCCCCTGCACGCAACGACGTCCTTGCGGCTGTGGGCGGAAGCCATGGAAGAGGATCGGCGCGGTGCGCGGAGGGGCGGCGAAGAGGCGCTTCCGCCGGTGCGGGTTTAGGCGCGCGCGGTGGAGTGCGCAAGGTGGCGCGGAGGAGGAGCAGGACCTGTGCAACGCAGGCGGAAGAGGCGCAGGGGAAGGGGGCGGGAAGGGGGTTCAGTGCGCGCGTGCTGGTGGACGCGGGTGCTCTCGACGAGACGAGATTCCGCGCATTGCGCAAGAGGCGGATCGTATTCGGGCACGATGACTGGAAGGTGAGGTGCCGCCGCGCTAGCAGCGCTGCTAGCCAAGAGTTGAAACCACGGCGCATGAATTTCCCCCACTGGCGCCCGCCCGTCCAAGAGTAGCGCGCGACCTCGTTCCGCCACAAGCGCCACTTCCGCCGCAAGCGCCTCTCTCCGCTCGCACCCTATCCACCTCCCCGTCTCACCTTTATCCCTACCGACACTCCATCCCCTTTTCCCCTCTCCCCCTTCTCCCCGGATCTCCCTCCTCACAGAGGCACGCGTCATCGTTCCGCCACAACCGCCACTTCCGCAACCTCCTCCGCTCTAACGTCGTTGGCGCCGTCACCCCGCCCGCGCTCACCGTCGCCGCCGTCGCCGCCGCCGTTACCGCGTGGAACACGCTGGTTGCGGGGAATCCGGCGGAACTCGCGCCGTTGGGGACGGTGGCGGCGACGGTGGCGGCGGGGGCGGCGGCGGCGGGGGCGGGAGGCGCAGAGGGTGCGGCGGGAGCGGGGGAGCTCCTCCCGCTGCTGCACATGAATCTGCTGCCGTTCAGCCTTACGGTTCCCGCGCTGTCGTTCCTGCTCGTGTTCCGCACTAACTCGTGCTATGGGCGCTTCGACGAGGTACGCGCGTGGATTGGGGAGGGGTGGCGCCGCATGGTGGGGAAGGGGGAAGTGGGGGGGGAAAGGGTGGGGGGGGGGGAGGGTTGGGGGAGCGGAAAGGTGGTGGGCTTGGCGGTGGTTAACGAGTTTCTTTAGAGAAAGGATCTGATGGGGATGGTGTGGCGTGGTCAGTGGTGCGGGCAAGTGGTTAGCAGCTGAGTCTTACCAACACTTCCTCCCCACTACTACCCCTTTCTCCTCCTCCCCCCGTTCGTTCACTCCTTCTCCCCCTTTTTCCCTAGCCCCCATTCTCCCATTCTGCGTCACTCCTCCTGCACCACCTGTCCTCCGCACCTTCCTCACGCCCTCTCACCACCTGCCAGCTCTCACCTGCACAATTTCTGACGAGCCTCATAAATGGACTCCTCGCCCTCTCTCACCTCTCAACTTTCACCTGCATCTTCCAACCACACTCACCCTCCCAACCTTTCCCCCTCTCCTCCCACCTCTCCCCACTTCTTCTTCCCCCTTCCCTCCGCACGTCCTCTCCCCACTGTGTGATGGCAGGCGCGCAAGATGTGGGGGTTGATGCTCAACCGCACCCGAGACATCTCCCGCCAGGCGCTCTGCTACATGGGCCGAGACACGCCCCTGCCTCTCCCTCCTCCCTCCGCCCTCCCTGCTTCTGCCAACGCCGATGCTGCTCCTGCTGCCGGGACTGGTGCCCCGGGTGGTCCTAGTGGTACTGTCAAGGTCAGGGGGCTGGTTACCGGTAGTGGTGGGGCTATAGCTAACGGCAGTGTTGCCAGTAATGGCAGTGTTGCTGTTAATGGCAGTGTTGCTGTTAATGGCAGTGTTGCTGTTAATGGCAGTGTCGCCACTAATGGCAGTCTTACCATAAATGGCAATCGCAGTGATCTTCGGGACATTGTGGCAGCAGCTGGTCAGGCCAATGGCAAACCTGTGGGGCTAGTAAATGGGCAGGTAAACGGACGGGTAAACGGGCAGGTGAACGGGCATATCAACGGGCAGGTGAACGGGCATGTGAACAGGCAGGTGAGCGGACATGTGAACGGACAGGTGAACGGGCAGGTGAACGGGCAGGTGAACGGGAAGGTGAATGGGAAGGTGAATGGGAAGGCGAACGGACAGGTGAACGGGCATATTAATGGAATGGTGAACGCAGCAATGCATGGGCTTACTGTGGGAGGGACGAAGGCGAAAGCACAGGAGACAGGGACAGCAGCAGCAGCAGCAGCAGCAGCAGCAGGGGCGGCAGCAGGGGCGGCAGCAGGGGGGGCAGCAGGGTTGGCGGCACGGGCGCGCGATGAGAGGAGAAGGGAGCGGTTCCTGCGGCACGTGCAGGCGTTCCCTCTGGTGTGCAAGCACCACTTCGTCGCCGAGGGCAGCCTTGAGGCGGACCTGCTGGTGAGTGCGATACATTGAGGGCTCATGGGGGGAGGTGCATGGGGAGGTGACTTGTGATTCGACTCAAACGAATGGCGTTCCCCCTGGTGTGCAAGCGTTCCCCCTGGTGTGCAAGCACCACTTTGTGGCGGAAGGCAGCCTTGAGACGGATCTGCTGGTGAGCATCGCATGGCATGCGGGCTCGTGGGGGAGGTGGATTGAGAGACGCGGATGCGGAGGTTGGTGGGGAGAGGGGTGATATGTGGGGGTACGGAGGAGAGAAGGGAGAGGGTGGATGGGATACGTTGGGCATGCAGAGGGTGTGGGGAAGTAATGAATGCGCGTGTAAGCATGCATGCGTATGCACGAGTTTTATCTCACTGGAAGCAGCCATGCAGCCACAGCTTACCCTTTTCCCCTCCCTCCCTCTTTCCCTTTCTCTCCCCGTCCCTACCTCCCTCCCTCTCCTCCTCTGCCTTCACCCCACGCCATCGCCACTCCCCCGGTGCATGGGTGCAGGAGCACACGACGCTGGGGGCGAGGGAGGTGGAGGGCGTGTTGGGAGCGGTGCATCGCCCCAACTACGTGCTGCAGGTGCTGGCCGAGTGCATGCGCTCCTGCGCCTCCCTGCACCCCATGCACCGCCTTGCCATGGTGAGCGCCACACCCCCCCCATCCTGTTGCGGCTGCTGGTGCTAATGGTGCTGCTGACGCTGATGATGGTGCTAATGGTGTTGCTGACGCTGATGATGGTGCTAATGGTGCTGCTGACGCTGATGATGGTGCTAATGGTGCTGCTGACGCTGATGATGGTGCTAATGGTGCTGCTGACGCTGATGATGGTGCTAATGGTGCTGCTGACGCTGATGATGGTGCTAATGGTGCTGCTGACGCTAATGATGGTGCTAATGGTGCTGCTGACGCTGATGATGGTGCTAATGGTGCTGCTGACGCTGATGATGGTGCTAATGGTGCTGCTGACGCTGATGATGGTGCTAATGGTGCTGCTGACGCTGATGATGGTGCTAATGGTGCTGCTGACGCTGATGATGGTGCTAATGGTGCTGCTGACGCTGATGATGGTGCTAATGGTGCTGCTGACGCTGATGATGGTGCTAATGGTGCTGCTGACGTTGATGATGGTGCTAATGGTGCTGCTGACGCTGATGATGGTGCTAATGGTGCTGCTGACGCTGATGATGGTGCTAATGGTGCTGCTGACGCTGATGATGGTGCTAATGGTGCTGCTGACGCTGATGATGGTGCTAATGGTGCTGCTGACGCTGATGATGGTGCTAATGGTGCTGCTGACGCTGATGATGGTGCTAATGGTGCTGCTGACGCTGATGATGGTGCTAATGGTGCTGCTGACGCTGATGATGGTGCTAATGGTGCTGCTGACGCTGATGATGGTGCTAATGGTGCTGCTGACGCTGATGATGGTGCTAATGGTGCTGCTGACGCTGATGATGGTGCTAATGTTGCTGCTGACGCTGATGATGGTGCTAATGGTGCTGCTGACGCTGATGATGGTGCTAATGGTGCTGCTGACGCTGATGATGGTGCTAATGGTGCCGCTGACGCTGATGATGGTGCTAATGGTGCCGCTGACGCTGATGATGGTGCTAATGGTGCCGCTGACGCTGATGATGGTGCTAATGGTGCCGCTGACGCTGATGATGGTGCTAATGGTGCCGCTGACGCTGATGATGGTGCTAATGGTGCCGCTGACGCTGATGATGGTGCTAATGGTGCCGCTGACGCTGATGATGGTGCTAATGGTGCCGCTGACGCTGATGATGGTGCTAATGGTGCCGCTGACGCTGATGATGGTGCTAATGGTGCCGCTGACGCTGATGATGGTGCTAATGGTGCCGCTGACGCTGATGATGGTGCTAATGGTGCCGCTGACGCTGATGATGGTGCTAATGGTGCCGCTGACGCTGATGATGGTGCTAATGGTGCCGCTGACGCTGATGATGGTGCTAATGGTGCCGCTGACGCTGATGATGGTGCTAATGGTGCCGCTGACGCTGATGATGGTGCTAATGGTGCCGCTGACGCTGATGATGGTGCCAATGGTGCCGCTCACGCTGATGATGGTGCTAATGGTGCCGCTGACGCTGATGATGGTGCTAATGGTGCCGCTGACGCTGATGATGGTGCTAATGGTGCCGCTGACGCTGATGATGGTGCTAATGGTGCCGCTGACGCTGATGATGGTGCTAATGGTGCCGCTGACGCTGATGATGGTGCTAATGGTGCCGCTGACGCTGATGATGGTGCTAATGGTGCCGCTGACGCTGATGATGGTGCTAATGGTGCCGCTGACGCTGATGATGGTGCTAATGGTGCCGCTGACGCTGATGATGGTGCTAATGGTGCCGCTGACGCTGATGATGGTGCTAATGGTGCCGCTGACGCTGATGATGGTGCTAATGGTGCCGCTGACGCTGATGATGGTGCTAATGGTGCCGTTGACGCTGATGATGGTGCTGATGGTGCCGCTGACGCTGATGATGGTGCTGATGGTGCCGCTGACGCTGATGATGGTGCTAATGGTGCCGCTGACGCTGATGATGGTGCTAATGGTGCCGCTGACGCTGATGATGGTGCTAATGGTGCCGCTGACGCTGATGATGGTGCTAATGGTGCCGCTGACGCTGATGATGGTGCTAATGGTGCCGCTGACGCTGATGATGGTGCTAATGGTGCCGCTGACGCTGATGATGGTGCTAATGGTGCCGCTGACGCTGATGATGGTGCTAATGGTGCCGCTGACGCTGATGATGGTGCTAATGGTGCCGCTGACGCTGATGATGGTGCTAATGGTGCTGCTGACGCTGATGATGGTGCTAATGGTGCCGCTGACGCTGATGATGGTGCTAATGGTGCCGCTGACGCTGATGATGGTGCTAATGGTGCTCCTGACGCTGATGATGGTGCTAATGGTGCTCCTGACGCTGATGATGGTGCTAATGGTGCCGCTGACGCTGATGATGGTGCTAATGGTGCCGCTGACGCTGATGATGGTGCTAATGGTGCCGCTGACGCTGATGATGGTGCTAATGGTGCCGCTGACGCTGATGATGGTGCTAATGGTGCCGCTGACGCTGATGATGGTGCTAATGGTGCCGCTGACGCTGATGATGGTGCTAATGGTGCCGCTGACGCTGATGATGGTGCTAATGGTGCCGCTGACGCTGATGATGGTGCTAATGGTGCCGCTGACGCTGATGATGGTGCTAATGGTGCCGCTGACGCTGATGATGGTGCTAATGGTGCCGCTGACGCTGATGATGGTGCTAATGGTGCCGCTGACGCTGATGATGGTGCTAATGGTGCCGCTGACGCTGATGATGGTGCTAATGGTGCCGCTGACGCTGATGATGGTGCTAATGGTGCCGCTGACGCTGATGATGGTGCTAATGGTGCCGCTGACGCTGATGATGGTGCTAATGGTGCCGCTGACGCTGATGATGGTGCTAATGGTGCCGCTGACGCTGATGATGGTGCTAATGGTGCCGCTGACGCTGATGATGGTGCTAATGGTGCCGCTGACGCTGATGATGGTGCTAATGGTGCCGCTGACGCTGATGATGGTGCTAATGGTGCCGCTGACGCTGATGATGGTGCTAATGGTGCCGCTGACGCTGATGATGGTGCTAATGGTGCCGCTGACGCTGATGATGGTGCTAATGGTGCCGCTGACGCTGATGATGGTGCTAATGGTGCCGCTGACGCTGATGATGGTGCTAATGGTGCCGCTGACGCTGATGATGGTGCTAATGGTGCCGCTGACGCTGATGATGGTGCTAATGGTGCCGCTGACGCTGATGATGGTGCTAATGGTGCCGCTGACGCTGATGATGGTGCTAATGGTGCTCCTGACGCTGATGATGGTGCTAATGGTGCCGCTGACGCTGATGATGGTGCTAATGGTGCCGCTGACGCTGATGATGGTGCTAATGGTGCTCCTGACGCTGATGATGGTGCTAATGGTGCTCCTGACGCTGATGATGGTGCTAATGGTGCCGCTGACGCTGATGATGGTGCTAATGGTACCGCTGACGCTGATGATGGTGCTAATGGTGCCGCTGACGCTGATGATGGTGCTAATGGTGCCGCTGACGCTGATGATGGTGCTAATGGTGCCGCTGACGCTGATGATGGTGCTAATGGTGCCGCTGACGCTGATGATGGTGCTAATGGTGCCGCTGACGCTGATGATGGTGCTAATGGTGCCGCTGACGCTGATGATGGTGCTAATGGTGCCGCTGACGCTGATGATGGTGCTAATGGTGCCGCTGACGCTGATGATGGTGCTAATGGTGCTGCTGACGCTGATGATGGTGCTAATGGTGCCGCTGACGCTGATGATGGTGCTAATGGTGCCGCTGACGCTGATGATGGTGCTAATGGTGCCGCTGACGCTGATGATGGTGCTAATGGTGCCGCTGACGCTGATGATGGTGCTAATGGTGCCGCTGACGCTGATGATGGTGCTAATGGTGCCGCTGACGCTGATGATGGTGCTAATGGTGCCGCTGACGCTGATGATGGTGCTAATGGTGCCGCTGACGCTGATGATGGTGCTAATGGTGCCGCTGACGCTGATGATGGTGCTAATGGTGCCGCTGACGCTGATGATGGTGCTAATGGTGCCGCTGACGCTGATGATGGTGCTAATGGTGCCGCTGACGCTGATGATGGTGCTAATGGTGCTGCTGACGCTGATGATGGTGCTAATGGTGCCGCTGACGCTGATGATGGTGCTAATGGTGCCGCTGACGCTGATGATGGTGCTAATGGTGCCGCTGACGCTGATGATGGTGCTAATGGTGCCGCTGACGCTGATGATGGTGCTAATGGTGCCGCTGACGCTGATGATGGTGCTAATGGTGCCGCTGACGCTGATGATGGTGCTAATGGTGCCGCTGACGCTGATGATGGTGCTAATGGTGCCGCTGACGCTGATGATGGTGCTAATGGTGCCGCTGACGCTGATGATGGTGCTAATGGTGCCGCTGACGCTGATGATGGTGCTAATGGTGCCGCTGACGCTGATGATGGTGCTAATGGTGCCGCTGACGCTGATGATGGTGCTAATGGTGCCGCTGACGCTGATGATGGTGCTAATGGTGCCGCTGACGCTGATGATGGTGCTAATGGTGCCGCTGACGCTGATGATGGTGCTAATGGTGCCGCTGACGCTGATGATGGTGCTAATGGTGCCGCTGACGCTGATGATGGTGCTAATGGTGCCGCTGACGCTGATGATGGTGCTAATGGTGCCGCTGACGCTGATGATGGTGCTAATGGTGCCGCTGACGCTGATGATGGTGCTAATGGTGCCGCTGACGCTGATGATGGTGCTAATGGTGCCGCTGACGCTGATGATGGTGCTAATGGTGCCGCTGACGCTGATGATGGTGCTAATGGTGCCGCTGACGCTGATGATGGTGCTAATGGTGCCGCTGACGCTGATGATGGTGCTAATGGTGCCGCTGACGCTGATGATGGTGCTAATGGTGCCGCTGACGCTGATGATGGTGCTAATGGTGCCGCTGACGCTGATGATGGTGCTAATGGTGCCGCTGACGCTGATGATGGTGCTAATGGTGCCGCTGACGCTGATGATGGTGCTAATGGTGCCGCTGACGCTGATGATGGTGCTAATGGTGCCTGCTGACGCTGATGATGGTGCTAATGGTGCTGCTGACGCTGATGATGGTGCTAATGGTGCTGCTGACGCTGATGATGGTGCTAATGGTGCTGCTGACGCTGATGATGGTGCTAATGGTGCTGCTGACGCTGATGATGGTGCTAATGGTGCTGCTGACGCTGATGATGGTGCTAATGGTGCTGCTGACGCTGATGATGGTGCTAATGGTGCTGCTGACGCTGATGATGGTGCTAATGTTGCTGCTGACGCTGATGATGGTGCTAATGGTGCTGCTGACGCTGATGATGGTGCTAATGGTGCTGCTGACGCTGATGATGGTGCTAATGGTGCCGCTGACGCTGATGATGGTGCTAATGGTGCCGCTGACGCTGATGATGGTGCTAATGGTGCCGCTGACGCTGATGATGGTGCTAATGGTGCCGCTGACGCTGATGATGGTGCTAATGGTGCCGCTGACGCTGATGATGGTGCTAATGGTGCCGCTGACGCTGATGATGGTGCTAATGGTGCCGCTGACGCTGATGATGGTGCTAATGGTGCCGCTGACGCTGATGATGGTGCTAATGGTGCCGCTGACGCTGATGATGGTGCTAATGGTGCCGCTGACGCTGATGATGGTGCTAATGGTGCCGCTGACGCTGATGATGGTGCTAATGGTGCCGCTGACGCTGATGATGGTGCTAATGGTGCCGCTGACGCTGATGATGGTGCTAATGGTGCCGCTGACGCTGATGATGGTGCTAATGGTGCCGCTGACGCTGATGATGGTGTCGCGATATATATTTATATATGTTTATAACTGCCTGTAGCTTTAGCTTTAGTGTAGTTATGTTTCTTTGTTGTGGTGGTGCACCTCTTTGTTTCTTTGCTATATGTTCTTGCAAACCTATAGTGAAGACACACATTCTCGATTCTCTCTTGGCACAACTCCCTCGACACCCGCTTGGCCTAGGCTACTAAGCCTAGGCCCTTAGTTAAACCCGTTCCTAGCTAAGTTCGTCTCGTGACATGGTAACAGAGTGGTCCGTCCTAGGACCTATTTCGTTTATGGGCCCACCACATTTCGCGACTGCTACAGTTAGTGGCGCGAAATCCGCACCTTGCGTATCTTTTTTTTTTCCCTGCTGCTCGCGCTGCCCCCCGTCGCCTGCCTCGTCGCGGCTCTCAGCGCGACGGGCGCGGCGGACGCTATGGCGAACGCCAGCGGACCCGCCGCCAGCGACCCGCCAGCGAAGTCGCCAGCGAAGTCGCCAGCGGCCCGCGATCGCGTTTGCGCCATCGACTGCAGCCAGCGCCACCTTGCACCTCGCCCGTCGCACCGGCGGTCGCTGTGGGGGGGAGAGGGAAGAAGGGATGGGAGTGGCGGCGGAACTCTGTGGGGGCGAGAGGGAAGAGGGGATAGGAGTGACGGGGGAACGCCAGCGACGATCGCCAGCTCTGCCCGTCGCATTCCCCCCGCCCCCTGCCCATCACCCCCCCCCGTCGCGACTGTTTGCGTGTGCAGCGGCGGTCGCCATGGGGAGGAGAGGGAGGAGGGGAAGGGAGTGGCGGTGGGACGCTGTGGAAAGGAGAGAGAGGAGGGGAAGGGAGTGGTGGCGGAACAGCACCAGCGCCAGCCGCCAGCACCAGGAACCAGCACCAGCGCCAGCCGCCAGCACCAGGAACCAGCCCCAGCGCCAGCCGCCAGCACCAGGAACCAGCCCCAGCGCCAGCCGCCAGCACCAGGAACCAGCCCCAGCGCCAGTCGCCAGCACCAGGAACCAGCCCCAGCGCCGGCCGCCAGCACCAGGAACCAGCCCCAGTGCCAGCCGCCAGCACCAGGAACCAGCACCAGCGCCAGCCGCCAGCACCAGGAACCAGCCCCAGCGCCAGCCGCCAGCATCAGGAACCAGCCCCAGTGCCAGCTGCCAGCACCAGGAACCAGCACCAGCGCCAGCCGCCAGCACCAGCACCAGCAACCCCACCTGTGACCAGCAGCCCCACCTGTGACCAGCAGCCCCACCTGTGACCAGCAGCCCCACCTATGACCAGCAGCCCCACCTGTGACCAGCAGCCCCACCTGTGACCAGCAGCCCCACCTGTGACCAGCAGCCCCACCTGTGACCAGCAGCCCTACCTGTGACCAGCAGCCCCACCTGTGACCAGCAGCCCCACCTGTGACCAGCAGCCCCACCTGTGACCAGCAGCCCCACCTGTGACCAGCAGCCCCACCTGTGACCAGCAGCCCCACCTGTGACCAGCAGCCCCACCTGTGCCCAGCAGCCCACCTGTGAAAGACTGTACAGGGACCATCGTGGGTTGGGAGAGGTATGGAGGAAGACAGGGGTGGAGGGAGTGCGGTTCCAGGGGGCGACTGAAATGGGGGGTGAGGTTGAGGGCGGGTGGTTGGTTGGGGGTGGGGATGTGGGGGTTAGTAAGAGGGGACGCTGCGGCCACCCCCCCACCTCTTCTCCTCATCCCCCACTCAACCCCCCCTTTCGTAAAAGGGGGTTAGTAAGAGGGGACGCTGCGGCCACCCCCCACCTCCTCTCCTCATCCCCCACTCACCTCCTCCTGTGTTCTTATCTATTCTCCTCTCCTCTCTTCCTCTTGCCTCCTCCTCCTCACGTACCCCTCTGCCGTCTCCCACCGCACCTGCCCCTTCAGGGGGTGTGACTTGCTCTAGCTATGTGCTGCAGGCAGTTAAGGGGGTGTGTCGCGATATATATTTATATATGTTTATAACTGCCTGTAGCTTTAGCTTTAGTGTAGTTATGTTTCTTTGTTGTGGTGGTGCACCTCTTTGTTTCTTTGCTATATGTTCTTGCAAACCTATAGTGAAGACACACATTCTCGATTCTCTCTTGGCACAACTCCCTCGACACCCGCTTGGCCTAGGCTACTAAGCCTAGGCCCTTAGTTAAACCCATTCCTAGCTAAGTTCGTCTCGTGACAGATGGTGCTAATGGTGCCGCTGACGCTGATGATGGTGCTAATGGTGCCGCTGACGCTGATGATGGTGCTAATGGTGCCGCTGACGCTGATGATGGTGCTAATGGTGCCGCTGACGCTGATGATGGTGCTAATGGTGCCGCTGACGCTGATGATGGTGCTAATGGTGCCGCTGACGCTGATGATGGTGCTAATGGTGCTGCTGACGCTGATGATGGTGCTAATGGTGCTGCTGACGCTGATGATGGTGCTAATGGTGCTGCTGACGCTGATGATGGTGCTAATGGTGCTGCTGACGCTGATGATGGTGCTAGTGGTGCTGCTGACGCTGATGATGGTGCTAATGGTGCTGCTGACGCTGATGATGGTGCTAATGGTGCTGCTGACGCTGATGATGGTGCTAATGGTGCTGCTGACGCTGATGATGGTGCTAATGGTGCTGCTGACGCTGATGATGGTGCTAATGGTGCTGCTGACGCTGATGATGGTGCTAATGGTGCTGCTGACGCTGATGATGGTGCTAATGGTGCTGCTGACGCTGATGATGGTGCTAATGGTGCTGCTGACGCTGATGATGGTGCTAATGGTGCTGCTGACGCTGATGATGGTGCTAATGGTGCTGCTGACGCTGATGATGGTGCTAATGGTGCTGCTGACGCTGATGATGGTGCTAATGGTGCTGCTGACGCTGATGATGGTGCTAATGGTGCTGCTGACGCTGATGATGGTGCTAATGGTGCTGCTGACGCTGATGATGGTGCTAATGGTGCTGCTGACGCTGATGATGGTGCTAATGGTGCTGCTGACGCTGATGATGGTGCTAATGGTGCTGCTGACGCTGATGATGGTGCTAATGGTGCTGCTGACGCTGATGATGGTGCTAATGGTGCTGCTGACGCTGATGATGGTGCTAATGGTGCTGCTGACGCTGATGATGGTGCTAATGGTGCTGCTGACGCTGATGATGGTGCTAATGGTGCTGCTGACGCTGATGATGGTGCTAATGGTGCTGCTGACGCTGATGATGGTGCTAATGGTGCTGCTGCAGAGAGGGTTTAGGGTGAGAGCAGGAGGGTGGAGTTAACACCATCAAGAGCAGAATAAAGCCACGTACACATCTTCAAAGCTCTTCACTGATCTGTTCGATCTCGAGCAACGTCAGGGAGACAAGGGCAATGCACACCTTTGCTTCCCCCCCCCTCCTCTGTGCATTTCCTGCCAATGGCAGGGAGATAAGGACAGAGAAGGCTACGTGAGACCAGTGGGTTGAATTCAACCCAAGCGGAGCAGCATTGAGGCCCACGCAAACCTCAGCCTATCTCTCCCTCATCCTCTGCGCATTTCCTGACAGTGGACGGGAGATAGGGACAGAGAGAGGAAATGATGAGATGAATCAAACCCAATAGGAGCAGCATGGAGGCCCACACACACCTCAGACTCTCCCTCCATCTGCCTCTATGCATGTCCTGCCAAAGGCAGGGAGATAAGCACATAGATAGGAAAGGATGAGAGCAGCAGCAGGGTTGAATCAAACCCAATATGAGCAGCATGGAGACCCATGCACACCTCAGCCTCTCCCTCCCTCCACCTCTGTGCATTTCCTGCCAACGGGGGGGATTAAGGACAGATAGAGAGGAAAGGATGAGGGGAGCAGCGGGGTATGAATCAAACCCAATACAAGCAGCATGGAGGCTCACACACACCACGGCCTCTCCCTCCCTCCTCCTCTGTGCGTTTCCTGCCAATGGCAGGGAGATAAGGACAGGGAGAGAGGAAGGGATGAGAGTAGCAACGGGCCCACGCGCACCTCAGCCTCTCCCTCCCTCCTCCTCTGTGCATTTCCTGCCAATGGCAGGGAGATAAGGACACAGAGAGAGGTAGGGATGAGAGTAGCAACGGGCCCACGCGCACCTCAGCCTCTCCCTCCCTCCTCCTCTGTGCGTCTCCTGCCAATGGCAGGGAGATAAGGACACAGAGAGAGGTAGGGATGAGAGTAGCAACGGGCCCACGCACAACACGGCCTCTCCCTCCTTCCTCCTCTGTGCGTTTCCTGCCAATGGCGGGGAGATAAGGACACAGAGAGAGAAAGGGATGAGAGTAGCAACGGGCCCACGCACACCTCAGCCTCTCCCTCCCTCCTCCTCTGTGCATTTCCTGCCAATGGCAGGGAGATAAGGACAGGGAGAGAGGAAGGGATGAGAGTAGCAACGGGCCCACGCACACCTCAGCCTCTCCCTCCCTCCTCCTCTGTGCGTTTCCTGCCAATGGCAGGGAGATAAGGACAGGGAGAGAGGAAGGGTTGAGAGTAGCAACGGGCCCACGCACACCTCACCCTCTCCCTCCCTCCTCCTCTGTGCGTTTCCTGCCAATGGCAGGGAGATAAGGACACAGAGAAAGGAAGGGATGAGAGTAGCAACGGGCCCACGCACACCTCAGCCTCTCCCTCCCTCCTCCTCTGTGCGTTTCCTGCCAATCGCAGGGAGATAAGGACACAGAGAGAAAGGGATGAGAGTAGCAACGGGCCCACGCACACCTCAGCCTCTCCCTCCCTCCTCCTCTGTGCGTTTCCTGCCAATGGCAGGGAGATAAGGACACAGAGAGAGGAAGGGATGAGAGTAGCAACGGGCCCACGCACACCACGGCCTCTCCCTCCCTCCTCCTCTGTGCGTTTCCTGCCAATGGCGGGGAGATAAGGACACAGAGAGAGGTAGGGATGAGAGTAGCAACGGACCCACGCACACCACGGCCTCTCCCTCCCTCCTCCTCTGTGCGTTTCCTGCCAATGGCAGGGAGATAAGGACAGGGAGAGAGGAAGGGATGAGAGTAGCAACGGGCCCACGCACACCTCAGCTTCTCCCTCCCTCCTCCTCTGTGCGTTTCCTGCCAATGGCAGGGAGATAAGGACACAGAGAGAAAGGGATGAGAGTAGCAACGGGCCCACGCACACCTCAGCCTCTCCCTCCCTCCTCCTCTGTGCGTTTCCTGCCAATGGCAGGGAGATAAGGACACAGAGAGAGGAAGGGATGAGAGTAGCAACGGGCCCACGCACACCATGGCCTCTCCCTCCCTCCTCCTCTGTGCGTTTCCTGCCAATGGCGGGGAGATAAGGACAGTGAGTGAGGAAAGGATGAGAGTAGCAACGGGCCCATGCCCACCTCAGCCTCTCCCTCCCTCCTCCTCTGTGCGTTTCCTGCCAACGGCAGGGAGATAAGGACACAGAGAGAGGTAGGGATGAGAGTAGCAACGGGCCCACGCACACCACGGCCTCTCCCTCCCTCCTCCTCTGTGCGTTTCCTGCCAATGGCGGGGAGATAAGGACAGTGAGTGAGGAAAGGATGAGAGTAGCAACGGGCCCACGCCCACCTCAGCCTCTCCCTCCCTCCTCCTCTGTGCGTTTCCTGCCAATGGCAGGGAGATAAGGACACAGAGAGAGGTAGGGATGAGAGTAGCAACGGGCCCACGCACACCACGGCCTCTCCCTCCCTCCTCCTCTGTGCATTTCCTGCCAATGGCAGTGAGATAAGGGCGAAGAGCAATATTGCTGAATTCACTTGAAGGTATGTGACGAGCGACCGGTTAATCATGCGATGTGACGAACGGGTTTTCAAGCAGCTATTGAAATGAATGAGAACAGCATTATGGACAGTGAGTTGGCACACCATGCAACGTACTGTCCATGTAATGTTGGACGAGTTCCTTATGTTCATAAAAGGCCTCAGGGCTTTTTACTCCCTTGGGAAGCGCTGCCATCTTGTGTTGCTTCTTTACGCTCCCCAGGGCTGTCCAAACAACAGCTCGTAGCTTCTTCGCGACGTTGCTTCTGTTATTATTGCACATCTTGTTAAAAGTCCCCACGATGAATCGTCGGTTAGGTTCCAAAGAAGCTTTAGATGTGTCATCGCATCAGGGATAGTAATTTCGCGAATTCTCTAAGCGCCTCGTCGGTGTTGGGGTAAAACTGAATCTCCACTGCATCGTCGGTCCAGAAGAGGCAAGTCACCACTTGACTGCACGCCCCCTGCCATTACACGAAAGTATTGTGTTTCGAGTGCTCGAGGAGTACACCAACTGCCGAGAGCTCGAGCGCTTCGAGTTGGACCAACTGCGTGGTCTAGGCCGTGGGTACTCGACTGTAACATTCAAGATTGCGGGCTTCCCGGCGCAGACGCTGTTCTTCCGTAACAGTTGGTGTACGACTGCTGTGCCAGTTAATTCCTCTGCAGTTTGTTGATACGACCTTTAATTCGCTGCACGTATTAGTTTATGCTCGTCATAATCACGTCTTGATTGTCTCTTCCAGGCTCTGGCCGACCTGTTTGGCGATCCGCGGAATGCGCCTGGGTTCGTTCCGAAGCCACGAATAGACACTGACCCGAAGACCCGTCAGAGACGCTACACCACGCCGGAGACAGCGACCTGGTGGCATGAGGCCCAGGTGAGAGGGAGAACGAGTAGTACAAATGCTTCTTTTTTTGCCACGTCTTCAAATTCTATCTTCGCTGCAACAAAACACATTCCAACAGTCCACTGACTCTCACTGCCTGGCCCTCTCACACACTGACATGAGATGGTCAGAGGCGTGCAGAGATGGGAGCGGAGGGGAGTGAGGAGCTCAAGCATGCACCTTGTTGCTTCATTCTCTCTCTCTGCCCCGTATCCTTGCCTCCCTCTGCCTGTCCGACCCACCCACAGACAGGAGAGGGACAGAGGTGGGCGGACAGAGGAGCGGAGGGGAGTGAGGAGCTCAAGCATGCACCTTGTTGCTTCATTCTCTCTCTCTGCCCCGTATCCTTGTCTTCCTCTGCCTGTCCCTCCCACCCACTGACAGGAGAGGGGCAGAGGTGGGCGGACAGAGGAGCGGAGGGATGTGAGATGCACCCTCATGCTCCCGTATGCTCTAATCTTGTTCACATACCCGCCTCCATCCGTATTATGTTATGCTGTGTCCATGTTTGTGGTATTGTTTACCTTAAACCTCAGGCCCATGTTGGTGCGGAGAAAATTTTCGCAACGGGAGCTAGACTACGGGCTAGGTACGGGTGCTCGTGTGATCTCTGCGTTCGTTCCTTAGTCGTTTCCTTGTGTTCACACTGCTTGCTAGTTCACGGGAAGAATTTGCAAGAGTTTCACTAGGAAAGCATAACAACAAAACGGTTGCAACAACATTGGCATGCAAGACCACATCAGACCTAGCAAAGCTGCTGGTCGACCTCCAGCGCAGCACGGTCGACCGCGTGCCAGCACGGCTTGGTCGACCGCGCTCCAGCAGAGCAAAGTCGCGGCATGCCAACGTTGCAAGTCCACGGCGTGCCAACGCTGCAGCAAGTCGGCTGCACAGCGTTGCACCAAGTCGGCTGGACAGCGTTGCACCCGCGGGACAACGGTGCACCTGCTTCGCAGGTGCGCGCAGCTGGTTGGTGCGCTCTTCCTTATCACGTGCACAGCGCATACGCCCAGGTTGACTCCACGCCAGCAACTGCGCCCACCAACCACGTCGACCCCGGGATACCACCCCCGAGGTCGGCCTCGCAGACTCCACCCCGGCGACCTTCGCACACATCGCCCTGGTATCCTGGTCGATCGGGAAACCAGGACGACACCACCAAGTCGGTGGTGACGTCCCCCACGGCCCCCGTGACCCCCGCGGTCCCGCGGCCCCCGCGGTCCCGCGGTCCCGCGGCCCCCCGCGGTCCCGCGGTCCCGCGGTCGGCTCCGCCCAAGCGAGGACGGGGCCAAACACTACTCCCGTTGACAGTTGGACCCGACGTAGTCATTGCTGGGATTATCCTGTACAGTGACGTCACACACCTTAGCAACAACTGCAGGAAAAAGGCACATCCGGTGATGATGAGTCTCGTCAACATCTCTCAGGGGAAACGTTGGGCATCTTCTGGCCACGTGCTTTTGGGGAATCTCCCGATACCACCAGCCGGCATGAGCTCGGCATAGAGCACCGAATTATTTCACGAAGCTGTGGAGCTCATGCTGCAGCCCATCCTCAAGGGTTTGAAAAGGTGTTGATCACACCTGTTCTATATTAACTTTGCTTTGAACATGATTTTTATGTCCAGTTCTCATGCTCGCTTCCACCGCAATGTGCGCATGTGCCATTTTATCAGTGCCATTTCGATGGCTTCATAGGGACGCGTTCCCGTATCTATAGAAGCATAACAACCCCTCTATATAATTCATTCTACCAAACCTCGTCACCCCAAACCCATCCTCTCTTTTTTACAACGCATTGCAGTGGTTTCAAGATGAAGGACCTGAATGGTGTTGAGCATCTCGTCATACCTATGATGTACGCATGGGTGTGTGACTTTCCAGAAAGTTGCAAAATCGCGTGCACTCTATCGGGCACTACCAACCGGCCGTGCAGCATATGCTATGCCCACAGGGTATGCTATGCTCACTCTATCGTTGAGTTGCCGTTATCTGCAATAAACGCCTAACCATGATCGCCCTGGTTATCCCTTACTTGTATTACATGCATATACGTGTGAGTATCCCATTCTACATGCAGGACCACTTGTGTGCCGGGTCAGCTCCAAACGTTAACCGCACTGCTGTGCAACAGCAATGGATCAAGGAAAACTGGTACAAACCCTTCGATGACAAAAAAACGATCGGGATGGAGTATTCGACGTTCGACGTCGACGTAAGTGTGAAGGCACTTTTAATGGCACTCCCCCACATCTCTGCCCTTCCACGCACTCCCCCACATCTCTGCCCTTCCACGCACTCCCCCACATCTCTGCCCTTCCACGCACTTCTCAACCTCACTGTCATTAGCCTCACATACTACATTGCTTCATTGCTATCCAAGTTCAACCTCGTAAGAGTCACCCTAACCCTATGCGTGTAGTGTTCCTTGTGGCTATGGGACGTTTTTGGCAAACCGTGGGGAAATCCTTACCTCGTCATCATGCCGGACATCATGCATCAAGCGGATCTCGGGATCCTCGGGCACATTGTCGCCGCCATCCGTTGCAATCATGGGAAGTGGCTTCTCTTGTTTGACGCGTACGTTTGGGTTGGTTATGTTCTGATTCGTATAGGTCGGCATTGCTATCTCCGGTTTCTTGTGTTGCTAATACGTGGTTTCTTATGCAAAGCATCGTTCATTTCATGACATGCGTGTATGTCATCCCTATTTCTTCTATCATGCTCAGGCGTCCGAATTCACTGAGAGCAGAAATTCGCATGACACATATGCGGCTCCCGGGCACAACGTACTTTGTGTCCGACGCCCAGGTGGCCGCATTCGAACACCGATCTGTCCTGCAGACAAGTGACAACCGTGAGAGAGGCATTGCTTGGCACGTTCATCACGACGTCCTCCCCTACCCCCTGTCCCACACCCATCAACCCCCCCCCCCCCTCCACCTGCCCCTCTTTCGGAGGCAGCCCTCACCCATGGAAACTTCATTGCGACTTCTCAAGTCAGAAATTCAATTAACCTTTTAAATCCCCATATTCACAGGTTTTGATTTTTGTGGTCGCGGACAAGCTTGAGGAGGAACAGTTGAGCGCCATTCGAGCATACCTCGAGTGGTATCTCTACTGCGCCCGCCTCCCAGGTCATACGGAGGGCACGCTTCGACATTTGCAGGAGTTGACCGACGAGTGAGCCCTCGCCTGCTCCCACTTATGCATACACTCGTGCCATTTATTCCACGATGTTGTTAAGGCCAATATGACCCTAAACCTTGTTTTGGATGGTGCCGGAAAGGGTCCATTTTCTATTGTGCACACTCTCTGTTCTACTCCCCAAGCCTCACCCCCCCACCCATGCCCTCAATGCAGCCCCCTCTGTGCCCTTGTTTCCCTGCCACTGACAGGAGTGGCTGATCGGCGAGAAGGGAGAGTGGGGCAGAGGTGTGCTAGTGTCTCTGTTATGCTCTCCAAGCCTCACCCCCCCACCCATACCCTCAATGCAGCCCCCTCTGTGCCCTTGTTTCCGTGCCACTGACAGGAGTGGCTGATCAGCGAGAAGGGAGAGTGGGGCAAAGGTGTGCTAGTGTCTCTGTTCTGCTCTCCAAGCCTCACCCCCCCACCCATACCTTCAATGCAGCCCCCTTTGTGCCCTTGTTTCCCTGCCACTGACAGGAGTGGTTGATCAGCGAGAAGGGAGAGTGGGGCAGAGGTGTCCTAGTGTCTCTGTTCTGCTCTCCAAGCCTCACCCTGTCAGAAAGAAGACGTGTTGAACTAGAAAGAAGTGAGAGTACAAATATGAAACCCTAGAAATGTGAACCCCCTATAGGCTAACCCACTATAGCCTACACAAATACAACAAGTATAATGTTTGACACACCCCCATAGGCGAAGTGGGGGAGAGCAAGGGGTCACAAGACCAGTCAAAGCAAAGCAAGGCAAAACAAGCTCAGGGTGGATCTCAAGGATACCACACAAATTCCGAGCACAAGCAAGCGGTCACAAGACCAGTTCACATGCAGTTTGATAATATAACAAGAGGTACAGTGATCACAACCTAGCAAGTGTGAGCATGCAGGTATATATATAGAGATCACAGTACAAACAGAGTCAAGAAGTGAGCAAGTGAGGGAGAGTAGGCACAAGGCCT